CAAGTCTTGTTCTTTTTTCTCACTCTTTTGATATGTACATCCATCACCAACAAGCGATGTTGATTAGCCAAGCTCTCTCCCGGTATAACTTTGCAATCCTTACAAGTTATACGATCCCCTTTCCTCATTAGAAGAAAAATCTATTTGTGTTTTTGACGACCCACTCTTGTAGGTGATCACATGTTCTTCTCTCTTCTTAAAGAAGGTGTTGGCTAAGAAGAGATCATATGCCATTGCAAAATCCAAGATAGCTTCCCCATCCTCGTTTCTCTCCCCCAAAACCATGGCCACCATGAAAACCTCCATAGTTGCCTGTCTCCCTGCCCACGTGTCCATTTAAATCTCCTCCTATAAATAACTTCTCCGTCTGGGCAATTCCTTGCACCAAGTCTCCAAGGTCTTTCCCAAAATTTCTCCTTCGAACTCGTATTCCAACCCTACTTGAGGTGCGTACGCACTAATCACATTGATGAAGTTCTTGTCCTATTACAATCTTGATTGCCATGATTCTATCTCCTACCCTCTTGACATCTACAACATCTTGTGTCAAGGTCTTGTCCACGATGATGCCAACACCGTTTCTCGTTCTATTTGTGCCTGAATACCAAAGTTTAAGCCTTGAGTTTTCTAGATCCTTTGCCTTAAGACCAACCCACTTAGTTTCTTGTAGGCACAAAATATTTATCCTTCTCCTCACCATAACTTCCACTACTTCCATAGATTTTCCCGTTAAGGTTCCTATATTCCACGTTCCTAAACGCAGTCTACTCTCTTGAACTCTACCCTTCTATCTTAGCTTCTTCACCCTCCCCCTTCTAATAGGATCAAAGTACTTCTTTTGTGTGTCCTGTGTAAAGTTGATAGGAGCATATGCTCCCAAACAACTTTGAGTGGAGTCGTTCGAAAAGAAGTTTCTATGGCCCCCTTGCTCATTTAACACTGCATCCGGGTGTCGATGGAGATACAGCGACCCTTGCTCACTTATCACTGTGCTCGGGCCACACAGCGCGCCACTTACGGGTGACGCCCTAGCTTTAGCGCGATTTCGTTCTGGATTCATTTTCATAAGGATTCGACGTAACTGTGGAGTGCCGACTGTCGATTGCTCCAAGGCTACAAATTTAACTCCTTCTATACCTATGCAGTCTCATGAGACTTCAAGAGTGGTACATTATACAATTGCTTCTTCCATCCATACTAGTTGTAGTATTCCTTCTACAGTCCACCTAGATTCACCGCCTCTAGTTAATTATACTGTTAAGGAGAATCATTTTGGTGCTTCCTTGTCTTCTACATTCACTACTTTAATTCCTCACAGTCATCATCCTATGTTCACTCGAGCAGAGTCAGGAGTTACCACAAAATGTGTACTTCATGCCTCAATTTCTCCTGGTCCTACTTTTGTTGAACCCAAGACATATCAACATGCCATGAAAGTTCATGAATGGTATAAAGCAATGCAAGAAGAATACCAAAGGATATTTTCTTCAAAGAGCTTAGTTGGTTGTAAATGGGTTTTTAAAATTAAGAAGAACGTTGATGGTTCAATTTCTAGACACAATGCCCGATTAGTTGCCAAAGGATATTTGCAAGAGCAAGAAGTAGATTATGATGAAACTTTTAATCCGGTTGTTAAGCACATTACTATACGACTTGTTATTTCCCTTGCTGCTAATTTTGGTTGGACAATTAAACAGTTAGACGTTAAGAATGCCTTCCTTCATGGCTTTCTTTATAAGGAATAGTGTACATACAACAACCCCTTGGCATGGTCAAATCTACTTCCCCTCATTTGGTTTGCCAATTACACAACTCTTTATATGGTTTAAAACATACTCCACTGGCCTAGATTGAATGTTTCACTACTCATGTTTTTGGCTTGGGAATTTAGCAACCACAATCAAATTCTTCTCTATTTGTTCAGCGCACAGATTCCATGGTTATCATTTTATTACTCTATGTCGATGACAGTCTCATTGTAAACACCAAATTCCTATGACAACTCAAACAAGAACACCTGTACATTGTAAAATACAAGCTATAAATGCTAGGAGGATTTTCTTATTGCAGAGTCTTTTATGCAGTAGTGACCTGATACTCCACGCTCTAATTTACAGATATCGTTGCAAAGGGATTAAGTGCACCACTGGTTCAAACCCATTGGTCCAATCTCATGCTTGGTTCCTCCAAACATGAGCTTGAGGGGGCATGTTAGATGTATGAGATTGAGACAAGTGTCACTAGATGTTGGGATTGTCTGTTAGTCTGGTATAAACAAATAGCATTGGTTGTTATGAAGGTAGTTAGAATAGCTAAGTCTGTTGAGAGCTATCTTTGTATAAAGTGAACCAATTGTATCTTCTTCTTCATTAAGTGAAATATACAGCTTTCTCTTTCTTGATTCACTCTGTCTTTCTTTCTCTGAAACTCTATTCTTGATGTACATTACAGTTCTGCATTATTAGCTTGTATGCTTAACGGTTACTTCTATCACATATCTAGCATGCTTCACAAGGTTCGGTACTTCGATAAATGCAAGTGGCAGCAATATGACCTTGTTTGGAGCACAATTGACAGATAACAAGATGAGATGCACCATTATGGAGTTGACATGGATTTCAAGAATGCCTTATTTGGGCTTCCCAATTAAATTAGTATCGAACTTGCAGTTTATGAGATTAGAACTCAATATTTCTCCCTATAAATGACAAGAAGTATTCCTTAACCGTAATACTAGGTAGTTTTTTTATTGAAATCATATTATCCCACATCTTATTCGCCTCGATAAATAAAGGACGTTTCGTTCAGATCAAATTCATAGGCTTCTTCTTCTTCTAAAAGTAATTGTGATTGTCATTACCATAAAAAAAGGTAATTTTGATTACTTTAAACAAAAAATATTTAAAGGACTAAGAAAGGTCAATGATAACAAGTGTTTGCTCCATAAAAAAAATAAAACAAGTGTTTACGGGTATTTTTTTTAATAAATGATATTATTTATATTAAAGGGAGTAAGAGTTGGTTAAACCTTATAATGAACGAGCCTTAATATTGTTGTTCGAATCCTCCCTTAACAATAATTGAACTTAACACCTTTCACTTACAATCGAATCAAACAAATGTTTGAGATATCCTTGTGTAGAATCATTCTTATTCTTGAGCGGGAGCGGCATATGTGTCAGTAAGCAACGCGTAAGCTTCTTCTTACAAAAAAGAGAGACAGTGGGTCCATTCACAGTAGGCCCAAAACAGGATAACGAGAGTGGGTCCCAGAAGCATAAATCGAAAGCCTAATGAACGTGGGGCAAGCCCACGCCAGACCATCAGCCACCACGTACTGAACTCCGGAATTGGATCCTCTCCGAGGCAATGCCTCGGGATCCTCTTGACCGAACAACATGAGCCGTTGAATTTTAATCCAATAGGTACAAATAGGGGGTCCCTCTAAAGTTATAATAATTGTAGTAGTTGGATCAAACTTCAACACCCCGTATTGTCCGGTCAGGAGGATCCCGAGGCTTTGCCTCGGAGAGGATCCAATTCCCTGAACTCCGGGCATCATTCCGTCTGTTGGGCCCACCTTCCAACACCACAGGCACAGAAACACACAAACACAACCCAGCTGACTCAACTGTCACGCTGTCACCTTGCTCGTTATTCACCGGCGCAGTGGCGGAGCCGAGCTAATCGGAACCAATTATTTTAATCGTTTTGTTTTTAATATTATGTATTTGGAGAGGTGTCACTATTGTATTCTCCAGGGTCGGTCTGTGGGGCCTAGTTTATAAGGGCAGATGAAGAAATAAAATACAGTAGAAAGTAGAAACAATTGCGTACCAACCAACCAGAGTCCGCGTGCACTTGCTGGTGAATAGAGGATAATACTAAAATATTTGATTTTATTGTATTAATTCTTTTTCCAAACCTTAAAAAATTTTCTTTCCCGAGCTGTGGCATTAATTTATTCGCACTTTTTGGGTGAAATTTATTTATTTTTTCCTTTGTAACGGGATGGCCTGGAACTTTGCTTGTTTATCTAATACATGTTTGTCGTTATTGATAAAGTGAATAATTCATCTAATAAATGTTAAATTTTTTTCAAAATCACGTTCAAGTAATAAGTAAATCATGTACTTGAATATTGTTATTAATATATTGAGGTAATTCTTATAATTTAAATATTTATCATGACTATGTACATGTTATTTTACGAAGAGAAACCATTAATTACAATGATAAATAGATCGATTTTAAGTCATTTGACAAACATGCATGTCCTAAAAAATAAGAGAAAATGTAATCACATATGGGGTGAGTGTTATTTTCAATGCTTATTTTATTTGTCCGTTTTCAATGTGTGTATATACAGTATAGTTTTTCTCACTTAGAAGTTAGGAAAAGTTTATCATTTTAAGTACGGAGTCTCATAGTAATAATCTAGAAGGTAACTTTGGTATCATGATTAAACTGGACTTGCGGATCATGCGGTGTAGACTCAACTCAATGAAACAGTACTACATACATGTGAGAGAGAGAGAGAGAGAGATGGGTACACTAGCTAGGGCAGGTGTTACTTTTTGGCGAGAGAATGTTCACCACAGCCTCCCCAGGTATGGAGAGGGTTAGACGGGTCACCACCAAAACATCCTTCCATTCATTACAAATATCTCCACATATAAATTTATATCATCAGTCATCATCAACCTACAATATTACTAATAGTCAATTAATTTGTTTAAGACACTACTTATTAAACCCTTTGTTATTTTGTGCTTCATTGTTCTTCAAGATTTAATATCATTCAATCCTCACCTTCCAATCTCCTCCTTTCGCTCTCACATTGATAGGATGGACAGCGTCAAAGAAGCTCAACTTTAATTTCTCTTCTAGTCTCCATCACTGGTGGGTGGCAAGCTCTCTGGAGGTTACCACCCCTCACCCCCCCCCCCCACCCCTCCCTCCCTCTATCTCTTCTCTCTCTCTCTCTCTCGATCTCTCTCGATATTCATTGATTGATTTCATTCACTTTCTTGAGCCATTTGAGCGCCTCCCTTTTTTCTCGGGCAAAGCTTTTGCAGCAATCAAGCCGCCCATCCACCATCCCACACAGAGACTCTGAAAAGATAAGGAGAGAGAAAATGTACATTTGAGGAGAGGGATATAAAAGATTATTAGGGCATGTGTTTTGTTTGTTAATATATATTTTGGTTCCTTCTTATTTAACTTTACTTTCTTCTCTATTTTTCCATTACTAGCTATACTCCACCTTTTCCTTCCCTATTTTCGCTTCCTCGGGATCCGATCTCTCTCTCTCTCGGACTAAGTACAACAGCAGTTTGGAGGGGGGGGGGATCAATTAGTTCTATTCCCAAGGATTTGCTTTCTTTGTTTCTTGTTTGTTTGTTTGTTTGCTGTCTGTTGTTCCTTTCTTTCTGTGCTTCTTTTTTGTCTGCTTCAGTGGGATTTTTCACAAACAAAAAGTTAAAGGGTGACGAAAGAAAGCCTTGCTTTTTCTTGTCTTGTCGCCTTCTCTGTAAGCTGATTGGTGATTGGATACGAGGTTTATGGTTCATCAACCAGATCTGCGTGCAGCAATTCTAACTTCCATAGGGTCACTGTGTACCAGATTACCAAGGTTTTTACCTCGTCCTCTCTCCTCCTTCACCATCATCATCTTCTTCTTCTTCTTCATTTTTCTTTTGGGTTTGCTTTATCTTCTTTGTTCTAATGGTTCCATCTACAGTGCGATCACTGCTGGCAAATGCATTGAATGATCATGAATTATTTGGTATTAAAGCTCATTTTGTAGGGTGATCATGTTTCTCTTGCTATGGATTGGCATAAATCGATCGATCTGGTTGTTTTCAATTTTCATGATGTGTGTGCTTCATTTATATATATATTTATTTATAGCTAACACTCGGCAAAATATTATAACATGTGGAAAAACATTAGTCTTCATTGATTAGTAATATCTTCCATCCAGCTTTTTAACATCTTTCAATACTGGGTTTACCCGAGTGATCAAAATGTCTTCTCTCCTTTGATCAACTTGATGGAGTTTTCATGTCCTCATACAACATGGATCTATACTCTCTAGAACATGTCATACCATATTGGTTACATGAAAAACAAATTCATTTTTTTAATTTGTTATTGGAATTTTAGAAAAAACAAAATCATTAAAAGGAGTCCTACATGCATAATCATTTTGTTTCTGGTTATATGGTAACTATTCTTTTAACATTTTTTTTTATCATCACATAGTTACATGAATTATAGTTGAATGTGTTATCTTTTTTCAATTCACACAAGGAGCCATTTTGCGTATGATCATCTCTAATTTAAATGTGTTTGGGTTTTTTTTTAAGTTTTTTTGTTTAGTTTTTTTGTCTTAAATGATCTTTTATTATGAGCTGATCGATTGAAAAAAAAAAGAAAAAGATTTTACTAATGATCATCCATTATCTATGGATCGAATGAAGTAAAAGAAAATAATAGCTCCAATCCCGGGTCTTCCATATCACTACAATCTTGTATTCTGTAATTTATCATGCAATTAATTACTACACTTTTTCTTTCACATCTTCTTTTTTATGTAGTTGAATCTAAGGTCAACTTTTTTTCATTAAACATATGTTTTTTATAGGTAAATTTTGTGAATACATTTTTCAGTTCAACAGATATATTTTTTGTTAAACTGGATGATGCCTCAGTGTTTACAATGTTAAAATGATTTACATGTAACAGTAAGAACATCATGTCTTAAAAAAAAACCCAGTTAATTAGTTCATCAAGATATTACAACACTAATTTTCTTCATCTTCATCACCAACAATATATAATAGTATCCTTATGCTTTGATGGCCAGTCATATTAATTTTCTTTTTTGATCTTGTTCTCCGGTACTCCTAGCTAGGTGCTGGCTTTTTATTTAGTAATACCAAGTTCATGGCCTTGTAATAATTTATTGGTTGTTAATGAAAATATTCTTGTTGCTAATTGTCTCCCATTTTGAATGTTATTGCCATGTTTTATAATCGGTAAAACAAAGGGTAGAACCGTAGATTAATTGATAGCAGATTAATAGATTAATTAACGCGCCAACTGATTTCCTTCCCATAATCTCCCATCATCTCTCTTAACAATATCTGGTGACAAGGGGAGATTTTATAGGACGATATCTTCTCTAATTTGGTAAGTTTTAGGTTTTCTTTTGATATCCCCCTTTTTTGTCAGAATTCTTAATTAATTTGCCCCTAGGGTTCTTCTCTAGCTTTACATATATCTATTTATTTTTATCAATTCTATAGGTTTATATACATATGCTATGTATTTTAGCCATTCGACATAAGATTTCTTAATTATTTTAACATTGAGTTTTCTCCGTGGGCATGTTTTCTGTGGAACCAACTAGAAAATAGAAGGCTTCTTTCAAATAGTACTCCACTGTAAGAATCGACAGGATTGAAAGTAGTTGTGATTCTCAGGTTCCTACCCGCTAAGTGATGCATTTTTTTTCTTCCAAGAATCATATGGTGCATATTTTATTTGAAAGATAGGAACATGACATTAAAAAAAAAAAAAACTTTGCAGCTATATATGTGATCGCGTATTTACACAGTTATACTACAATATTGGTGTATAACTAAACAATTTGGTACGTTATTTTGGTGCTAATGTATGTGTAATATTATTCTTTTCCAAAACTACGATCCAAATTATTCGTCTAGCAGGAGAACATTAATTATATATGCGTGTGTATACTTTATTGATATGAAATTTGTATTAGAACTTTAGATATGCAAACCTAATTTTGAAGTCAGGAAAAGATATAGTCTTCTCTCACTTTCGCACATAATCCTCTCACAAACCTGAGAAATTTTTTTGTAATATACCTTAATCATATTGCTTATTTTTTGTTCATGTTTTTTATTTTGGTTTGAATGTACTGTTCAAGTTTAAATTAATTCAGGTTTTCATCATTATCAGAAGAATATGGATACGCTTTCACATGTACCCCCGGGCTTTCGATTCCATCCCACAGATGAAGAACTTGTTGATTATTATCTTAGAAAGAAGACTGCTTCGAAACCAATTGATTTTGATGTCGTCAGAGATGTTGATCTCTATAAGATTGAGCCGTGGGATCTTGAAGGTACTAACTAATTAATTCATGGTTTGGTTATACTAGAAGAACTTGATTTATTATCCGCTGTTCATGTTCACCATTATAATATTGATTTGGACAGATTTGTGCAAAATAGGAAGTGGTGATCAGAATGAATGGTACTTCTTTAGCCATAAAGATAAGAAGTACCCTACCGGACATCGATCAAATAGGGCAACAAAAGCCGGGTTTTGGAAAGCTACAGGAAGAGATAAGGCTATTTACAGAGGAAAATTCCTCGTTGGCATGAGAAAGACCTTAGTGTTCTACAAAGGCCGTGCTCCAAATGGACAGAAGTCAGATTGGATCATGCATGAATATCGATTAGAAACTAGTGAAAATGGAACTCCCCAGGCAAGTACATATTAAGTTTTGTTTTTTGTTTTAAGCTATGAGCTTATTACATGTTACATGTTGTGCATTAGTCCTACGTACATCGATTGTGCCTAATATACTTTAGAACATATAGATATAGTTACATATCTATTGACCCTCTCCCCCGAATAACTTCAGTTTATATTTGGTATAGAATATGGTATCTGAGCGAAGCGTATCAATTTATACAACTATATTTCAAGTTTTTACTTATTCTTTCCATGCATATCTAGAAATTTAAGCAAAAATTAAGACAATCAAGTATTGGTTTGTTGCTGCTCATACCATGTATGCGCTGTACTTTTTTTATCAAACAGGATCGATGAATTTATGCGCCTTCACAATTATATATGTTCCTTTGCCATAAAAGTACCAAATATTCTATATGATTGCACCATGCAGGAAGAAGGATGGGTTGTGTGTAGAGTATTCAAGAAAAAATTGCCAACAGTGAAGAGAATGGGAGATTACGAGTCACCAAATTGCTATGACCAAGTCCCATTCATTCAACAACTTGATAACTCTCCAAGAACATCAATTTCCCACACTTACGTATCATCACAATATCAGCAGCAGCTACACTATTCACAATGCAAGCCAGAGCTTGATTTGCAGTACAACATGCCACATCATCATCATGACTCTTTTCTCCAGCTCCCTCAATTGGAAAGCCCCAAAGTTCCTCATCAACCAGCTATCCCATATGGTAATTATGTTATTCAGTCTTCCACAGTACTCACACAAGAGGAGCAATTGCATTATTTCTGCCAGCAAAATCCTTTCAACTCATCTGCGTCATCATCAGGACATACGCATTACAACAACACTGATTATCTACAAGCTGTTGATCAAGTGAAGGATTGGCAAGCCCTTGACAAGTATGTTGCATCACAGCTCAGCCATGACCAGCAAGATGCTTCCAAGGAAGTCACAAATTACTCCAATGCAGAAGAAACATTTCATGTGGCTGAACACATTAATATGCTTGCGAATGAAGCTTCCAGAAGGCCAGACTATAATAATAATGGACAGGAGTACTATGCCTCAACATCAACCTCTAGTTGCCAAATTGATCTCTGGAAATGATCAAGAACATGAATATTACAGTAACTATTAGCCACTACATGATACTAATTAATCGTAGGAGGCACACTTTAAATGGATCGATGCTGTACATAAGAAAACACAATTATGGTGTTAATTTTACCTATTCGACTTTAAATTTGTGACTTTTTGTGTTGACGAATACTAGGGCAACTAGGGTGACCAGTTATATGTTTAATTACAAAATAACTTAGTGAATCAATTTCAAACCATCTGCTAGAGGTTGTAACAATCCGAACGATCCCACTACATCAGGACCCTTTCCACGTTGCACAAAAGCCATTTCTTTAAGTTCAGCTAGCACTAAAAAGGCTACTCCCTATATATAGTATGTGGACTGCAATATTTGTTGAATGTATTTTTCCTTATTTCACATGGCTAATATTCTGTTTGGAATGCTCTACGTTAGTAAGTAAAACTCCTTACAATCTTCTTGATCAGATATACTGTACTTGAAGTCAGCATGTATTAATTGTGATCATGTATATAGGGCAGTGGCATGAGTACATATGTTGAAGTTGAATGTGTACCACTTTACCACGAATGCATGAAAATAAATTGTTTGGTACACGACAACAATTTACGGTGTCTGACACGTTGTGATATACTTGGTAGCTAATCAATAGCTGCCCTTTTGAGAGAGAGGTTGCTACGCAATGTTTACTGTTTCAGACTAGATGAACAGCTAGCACTTTGAATATCTCCTGAGAGATTTTTGAAAATGAGAATTTCATTCTGTTGAAAGAACATGATCATGCTCATATAGTCATTACTTACGATTGGACATTAATTGAAAGGATAATTCGTAGTTAACAGATTGCCTTAATTGTTTGTGACATACAGTGATTAGAAAATGCTTTTCTAATTGTATTTGAACAAGGCCGGTCGGAGCTGTTGCGTCGTTTGCACAACTGAAAGAGAAAACAAAAGGATCATAACCCAGAAGGTAGCTGTCCAGCGAGTTTTGTGTTTTAACTTAGCACTTATATATCATGCACGCCATGTGGAAGGGAGGTGGTGGAAAAGCATAAGTAATTTGGGACATCATATGCACAGCAGCTGAAAGATCACGGTCCACTCAGCAGCACAAGTCAGCAGCTATAGACCATGCATGATTTGTTGAGAATTAAGCTGCATCCTAGCTTTAGAATTAACCTGCAGAAGATAATCCTGCAGATGAAATCAAAAAGGAAGCTGAGAAGTGTGAAGAAATGAAGGCTTTACCAAAATTAGAAGGAGCCATTAATTTCAACGGCTAGTTTCTTTTACTAGTTTTAGAAAGATTACAGCTGGTGTTCCTATCTTTTTAATTGTACTGAGCTTTCCCATCTTCTTCCAAGTGGATGGATGATATCCTCCGATAACCATTAATGGCCGGAAAAAGGGTTCTAGGTCCCTATATGTAGGATCAGTTTTTAGACCAGCTGTGATAAATATAGTCTTTGTATGTTTGCCTTTTGTGATATATGAAAAATACACAGACTCTTGCTCTTCCTTTTCTCTCTTGAAAAAACACAAATTTCTTCAAACCCTTATTCAAAGTTTCAATCTTTATCAACCAAAAACAATATGCCTGGTACCATTTCAAACATGGTATCAGAGCTCCGGGTCTGATTCCGAAGAAAGGGCGTGATATTGTGAGAGAGATTCATCTCGAAAAAAAAAACCTTAAAGGTGGTACCTTTATAACCATTTGAGTGGTGCTGTCTGAGAAAATGGCTGGATCAAGCTCCTCCGGTGGTGACTTACGAACACCACAATTTAATGGATCAAACTACGATTTTTGGGCCGTAAAAATGGAAACCATTCTCATAGCCTACGATCTATGGGATGTGGTTGAAGTTGGTCTTGCTGGACAACAAACTTCCAGAGAGGAAACCTCTGAGGAAGAAGAAGAAAGCAAGTCAGAGCGCATTCCAGTTGAAAGACCAGTTGTTTCAAAGGAGGAAAAGATCAAGAATGCCAAGGCTCTAAGCCTCATTCAAGGAGCAATCACTAATGAACTTTTTCCTAGAATCCGAAATGAGAAGACTGCAAAAGGTCTGGGAAATCCTGAGAAGAGAGTTCAAAGGAGATAAAAAGGTAAGAGCTGTGAAATTACAAGCCATTAGAGCTGATTTTGAATATCTAAGGATGAATGATGTTGAATCTTTGGATGACTACTTGGCTCGGTTCTTTGAGATAGTAAACAACTTGAAATCTCTAGGAGAAGATGTAACAGAGAAAAGAATTGTTCAAAAGCTATTGATGAGTCTAAGTAGGAGATATAAGTCCATAGTGTCAATCATTGAAGAAACCAGAGATCTAGACACTATTAGAGTTGAGGAAGTCTTAGCTTCAGTGAAAGTCTATGATAAAAGAGAAGACTTGCATGATGAAAGAGAGAAATATACAGGTACTGAGAGAGCTTTCAGCAGCCTTAAAGTTGGAGGAAATGGAAATGGCACTGGAAGTGTCAAAGGGTCTCAGTATAAGACAAACCCAAAATGGGGTCAGTATAAAAAGGGTAAGAATTGGTCTCAAAACAGCTGGAATAATGGCAGTGGTAGTGGCTGGAACAACAAATTTACTGCACACAACAAGCAATCAAGTGGCAGCCAAGGAAATGTGAAACCGCTATGTCAAGTATGTGACAAATACCATTTTGGTATATGCAGATATAAAGGAAAACCCAAGTGTGGAAGATGCAATCGATTTGGTCACTTATCTAAGGACTGTGACAATGGTAAACAGGTTGCAAATTGTGCAAAGGAAGAAGATGCAGTCACAAGAACAATGTTCTATGCTTGTCATCCAAGTTCAATTGCATTAAGCAAATCTGTGTGGTTTGTGGACAGCGCATGTAGCAATCACATGACCTCTCAAGAGTCTTTATTGATCAATCTTGATAAGTCAGTGACCTGTAAAGTAAAAATGGGCACTGGAGACCTTGTTCAAGTTACAGGAAAAGGGACACTTGTAGTTGAGACACGAAAAGGGAGAAGATACATAAATGAAGTGCTGCTAGTTCCTGGATTAGATGAAAACTTACTGAGCATAGGGCAAATGATGGAGCATGGGTACTACATTCTGTTTGGAGGAAATTGTGCATTAATATGTGATGATAGAAGTCTTGATAATGTTGTTGCTAAAGTTGCAATGACTGGAAATAGATGTTTTCCATTGTCCATGGAATCTGTCAACTCAGTGGCAAGGAAAGTAGCAATACAAGAAGATCCATGGGTTTGGCATAGAAGATTGGGTCATTTGAATTTTACTAGCATGAAGAAAATGCAGCAAACACAAATGGTGTTGGGTTTATCTGATTTCTCAGAAAAAGAAAGAGTATGTGAAAGCTGTGTGTATGGTAAAAGTTACAGAGAACCATTTGAGAATGAGAAACCTTGGAGAGCAAACAATCCACTTGAATTGGTGCACACGGATGTATGTGGTCCAATGCAAAATGAGTCCATTGGAGGGAACAAATACTTCATCACATTCATTGATGATTACTCAAGGATGTGTTGGGTATATTTCCTCAGAAACAAGTCAGATGTGATAAATGTGTTCAAAAAATTCAAAGCATTTGTTGAACTTCAAAGTGGATTCAAATTGAAGAAACTAAGAAGTGATAGAGGTGGAGAATACACCTCACATGAATTCCTTGAGTATTGCAGTGATCTTGGCATGGAGAGGCAGTTGACTATTGCCTACTCACCTTAGCAAAATGGGGTTGCTGAGAGAAGAAATAGAACCATTAGAGAAATGGCAAGATCAATGATGTCTGAGAAGAAAATTCCTATCAAGTTTTGGGCTGAAGTAGTTGGCACTGCAGTGTATCTGCAAAATAGGTGTTATACCACTGCAGTCTCAGACAAAACACCATTTGAAGCTTTCACAGGGAGAAAACCAGGTGTAAAACATCTGAGAGTGTTTGGAAGTATATGTTACAGTCACATTCCATCAAATCTCAGACAGAAATTTGATGACAAAGCAAGCAAGGGAATTTTTATGGGGTATGGCAGCTGTGAGAAAGGCTACAGGATCTATAATCTTTAAACTAAGAAGATCATACTCTCAAGAAGTGTTGTATTCGATGAGAACAAGTCCTGGAATTGGGAAATCAAGCAAGATGAAACTGTTTACATGCCTCTCAACATTGGAAATGAAAATTCTGAGATAGTTGAAAATGAAGAATCCTCTCATAAAACTCACAGCACTGACTCTCCAAATCTCACTCAATTAGTCTCTGATGATGAATGTGTCCCTGGAAACAACATTGCCAGTACTAGTCAAGGTTCAACACCAAGCAATACACCAGTAAAACTGAGAAGCTTGGAAGACATCTATGCAAGATGTCATATGACCATCATTGAACCTGAAACCTATCATGATGCTATTGAAGATAAAGCATGGAAGGAAGCAATGGAAGCTGAGATTGAAACTATTGAAAAAAATGGAACTTGGGAGCTGGTGGAAAGGCCTGCAGACAAACCAGTCATAGAAGTCAAATGGGTGTTCAAAACTAAGTTGAATCTGGATGGATCAGTTCAAAAGCACAAGGCTAGGCTTGTGGCAAAAGGGTATGCCCAGAAACCTGGTATTGATTATAATGAAACATTTGCTCCAGTGGCAAGGTTAGATACAATTAGAACCCTGATTGCACTTGCAGCACAAAAGGGTTGGAAGCTGTTCCAATTAGATGTTAAGTCAGCCTTCTTGAATGGAGTACTTGAGGAGGAAGTTTACACTGAACAACCAAAGGGCTTTGAAGTTGAGAATGCAAGTCACAAGGTCTATAAGTTAAAGAATGCTCTCTATGGTTTGAAGTAGGCTCCTAGAGCCTGGTACAGTGAGATTGACACTTATCTCACTAGCTGCAATTTTAAAAGAAGCACCAGTGAGGCCACTTTATATACCAAAACTGATGAAGAACGAAAGCTGATCATTGTCTCTATATATGTTGATGATATAGTTTATACTGGAAGCAGTAATGCATTACTCAGTGAGTTCAAAAGAGACATGATGCAAAAGTATGAGATGACTGATTTAGGACTCCTACATCATTTCTTGGGAATGGGAGTTCTACAAACTGATAAAGGGGTGTTCATTCATCAAAGCAAGTATGCAAAGTCCTTACTTGTAAAGTTTGGCCTAGAGGATTGTAAGTCAGTGACAATTCCTCTACCCACTGGTGAAAAACTGAAGAAAGTTGATGGAAGTGAGTTGACTGATGAAGGTTTGTTCAGGAAAATTGTTGGCAGTTTGTTATATTTAACTGCAACCAGGCCTGATATAATGTATGCTGCCAGTTTGCTTTCAAGATTCATGCATGGTCCCACGAAGAAGCACATGGGAATAGCTAAAAGAGTTCTTAGATACATTCAAGGTACTCTCATCTATGGCATTGAATTTACAACGAACAAGGATGCTGTTTTGATTGGATTTTGTGACTCAGATTGGGCTGGCAGTGAAGATGACAGTAGGAGCACATCTGGGTATGCATTTAGTTTTGGTAGTGGTACATTTTCATGGGCCTCAGTCAAGCAAAACACAGTTGCATTGTCAACTGCAGAAGTAGAGTATGTCTCAGCAGCCGAGGCAACAACTCAAGCTATCTGGCTAAGATTTGTGTTGGATGATTTTGGTGAAATGCAAACTGAAGCAACACCATTGTTTTGTGACAACATGTCAGCAATATCGATGGTCAAAAATCCTGTCTTTCATCAGAAAACCAGACATATAAACAGGAAATATCATTTTATTCGAGAAGCATTGCAGCAAGGATCCATTAATGTGGAATATTGCAGGAGTGAAGAACAGTTGGCAGATATATTTACAAAAGCTTTGCCTAAAGATCGATTCAATTACTTGAGGATGAAGTTAGGAGTAAAGCCAGTAAGCAGCTTAGGAGAGGCTGTTGAGAATTAAGCTGCATCCTAGCTTTAGAATTAACCTGCAGAAGATAATCCTGCAGATGAAATAAAAAAGGAAGCTGAGAAGTGTGAAGAAATGAAGGCTTTACCAAAATTAGAAGGAGCCATTAATTTCAACGGCTAGTTTCTTTTACTAGTTTTAGAAAGATTACAGCTGGTGTTCCTATCTTTTTAATTGTACTGAGCTTTCCCATCTTCTTCCAAGTGGATGGATGATATCCTCCGATAACCATTAATGGCCAGAAAAAGGGTTCTAGGTCCCTATATGTAGGATCAGTTTTTAGACCAGCTGTGATAAATATAGTCTTTGTATGTTTGCCTTTTGTGATATATGAAAAATACACAGACTCTTGCTCTTCCTTTTCTCTCTTGAAAAAACACAAATTTCTTCAAACCCTTATTCAAAGTTTCAATCTTTATCAACCAAAAACAATATGCCAGGTACCATTTCAAACGTGATTGAGACTTTGTTAAATGAATCTATATTTAGTACACTTTTAAATCAGGATAGTTAAAGTTATAAATAACCAAACGACTTTACAATTTGTGTGACGCTTCGCAGGTGATGTTTCAATGAGAACCTGAATTATGAACGGTTTGGATCATAGGATATCTTATATATATAGTAGTCCCAAGCAATTGTTTAGCACAAAAAATATTACTAACTGGTTAGCGCTTATTTAAAGGGAGGCTTTGTACTGAACGCCTTATTGTGAGCTGTTTCATTCTTCCATTTGGTGAGGCGAATAAAGGCTTGAAGAGAAATCTTTTCTGATCTTCCACGAATGAATAACAAAGGTACGTTTGTATCAAAGGAACTAACTTTTCCTGGTGAACTATACTCTTACAATCCCCAAGGGCTCTTACCAACGGTATATGTAGTTTTTGGAATAAAAACTGAATTTGTGGTTTCCTTTCTGGTTGTGGCACACACATTTGGAAGAATTGCAATTACTAGACAGAAAAGAATATGGCGGGTTTTGTGCTATATATGCAACCATATATAGGTAATGGTCAATTGATCTTGGCCGCAAAACTCCATGGAAATACTGATATATAGAAGAAAAATAAAGCTATATATAAATATGTTGAAAATAAAGGTTATAATTAGAATTTGCATGTCATTACAAAGAGACTAATTTTTCTACTTTGCATACCTTGCAAAAAGATGACTCGATCGAGCAGCAGAAGCTATTCTTGAACAAGTGTGGTTCCCTTAATAACAGAAAACTTTCAAACATGCATATGCAGCACGGCGGTGCGTGTAAATTTAGGAATTGATTGTCTCCCGCCTCAGCTTCCGGGCCAGCCAGCAGCAGGTTGAGCAACAAGTCTTGCAGATTTAGACTTGATGAACCCGCTCTGTTTACTTTAAATTTTACCTGGTGTGGGACGGGAGGGATTTAAATAGCAATAAAACAAGACAAAGTAGCTTCTTTTTTAGAGTAGTACTACTGGATGGAATAAGGAGTGATATATTGGGACATAGTAACAAGAATGGACATAGTAACAAGAAAGAATATACGTAGATATAAAAGGATAGACGGTTACTATATGTAATACATGGACCTAGGTAACTAAATGAGCATATACTCTTACTTGAGTTGAAGTCATCATGCATCGAACTCCCTTTTAAGCAATGAGAAAAACATCATTGAGCGTGCTCTCATGGACTCAAAGTTGGAGAGAGAGAGAGAGAGAGAGAGAGAGAGAGAGAGAGAGAGAGAGAGAGAGAGAGAGAGAGAGAGAGAATGCTTGGGATATGGACTCACCAGAGAAACAGGAAGGGAGTGCTTGTTTTCTGACCAAGGTTGACGTGCTGGGTTCTTATACCTTTTTTGTCGCGTCACTTAAGATAAAAGAACAAACTATAAAAAAGGCATGTGTTCATTGTATTTTATATCGGCTGGCCTGCATATATGTGTGTGCTCGCGCGCGTGAGAGAGAGAGAGAGAGAGAGAGAGAGAGAGAGAGAAAATTTGGTTTCAACCTGGCCTGCTTGCTTCTGAAAACTCCAGAACAAGCAGACTATGCGCAATTATGCTTGCAGTGTATATAGTTGAATAATTAGGGATTGTTAATAATGTTGTTTGTTGACTAAATTAAACATCATTCTCTTTTTATTTGTCCAACAAAATAAAACATTATTTGCAAATAATGTCAAGTGTGAAACAACGGCATGTGAAGCAGCATCATTAATCAAGTGCTTTCCTTAGACGTTTCATAAGTCACAAATTAAGGTCCACAGTTCCCGGAGTCCGGATCTGCCTTTTACTACTTATTCGTTCTACTTCCACCTTTGCAATATTTCTGAATCAAGATCTCATATGTGGAGCTCAGAGCATGGGGTTGAAGCTATACTGATACTATTCACCATATTCCTTGTCTGGGAAAGAAGTGACATTGCATGAGCTTATGAAGAGTTTAACTACTCTCTATATTGACAATTGATTTTATGATAAAACTTCACCTTCTTTTCTGTCTGCCCCATGCACTTTTTCTCTACACAAACATAAAATTACAAAACTAAAAACGAAATGATTAACAAGCGGATCGTAAATGTAGATACTCTTGAGCTTGCACATGTCAACTTACTCCATGATGACATATCTGCCACCTGTTCCACATTGGATGAAACAAGGAAATGCATGTAGTGGGCAACTTATATATAATATGCGACATTAGGCTAGCTAGCGAATCCATTATTGATTTCGCTTGGTGATGCCATTTTCTGTGACTACCGTACTACAGCCTGTGCATGACATGATCAATGACGTTTTGCCTAGATATAAATTTTATTTTTCTATAGATTGCTAGATAAAAATTACACACATACGAATCCATATATATGTACCCTACCATATATTCATAGTAGATATACAGACCAATTATATATTTTGATGGTGGCTAAGTTTTTAGCGCCGTGCGACACACATGGGCAAAGACGATGAGAACTGATGGGGAATGAGGGCACATTCGCTGATTGGATTACGTAACGCTAGGGCTGGGAGCCAACCAAAAAGGAGTGCAAATTGACGGATGTTCGGGTAGCACTCAATGCTTTCTGATTGGATGGTACAATTGGTTGATGCATGTTTGTACAATTGGTTGATGCATGTTTGTCCACTTGGAGAAAGTGAGGACATGAATATTTAATGGCAAGCAACTAATTAATTGGTTTCTTTAGAGCAACCCCAAAGAAGATGTTAAATCCTAAGTGGAGATAAGACTGTGCATATTTGACATAAAAAATCCTTCCAATCAACGTGTTATTTGCTAATTGGATTTGAAGCCTTTGTGTTTAGAAGTCAAATTTGACATCAATGTCAAATTTACTTTTTGTTGATTTAATTGTGGGTCGCTTATTTTACTAATATTTCAACCAATAAGACTCGACGTGTAGGAATAAAAATATATATGCTCTCCTCTATCACTTCTCTTATTGGTGACACATCATTTAGTTTTTAAATTTAGTCTACAAATTTAGTCTACAAATTTAATCCATCTAGTAGGTGGAAAAACTTCCCAAAAATCCCGAACCAAACCGAAAAAATATCGATCCCAAACTGAAAATGTCCCAAACCGATTTCCCCAAAACTTTCGGTATGCTATCCCGAAAAAATACCGAAATTTTGGAATGGGAATCGAGATTGTCTTCCCAATATTTTGGTATTCCCATACTGAACCGAAAGATATATTTTTAATTTTTATTATTATATATATATACACACACACACACACACAGATAATAATATAAATAAATCATGTTGGCACAATAATGCAAAAATCATGTTACTTTATTTTTCATCCCTGCAACATAAATATATGAAGGATTATGATATGTGTTATGTGTCATTCTATTTCATTGATAGGAGTCACCTTTGCTGGAAGTAACACAAACACCAGTGTCAAAGTTGTTGAAGAAAGTAGAGAACATAAACACCGGAAGTGTAATGAGTATTCCACAAAATCACAAAAAGGTATATAACTTCTATAATAGGTTTGCCTTCTAGTGTATTCTTAATTGGTAAAACAACTCTGTTCTATAGGTTATAAACTTATGAATGCATCTTGGTACTAAAAAAGAAGATATCATATAAAACTTATCTATGGTTGCACTAGTGGTTGTTTAAGAGTTTAATGTTGCCTACCGATATTGTTTGATCAATTCATGCGTTATTCCTTCTACCTCTTCAACTCCATGCCAGGTAACTCATTGGGAGTATGAAGTTGAAACTAGTAATGGAAGAACAATCACGAAACAAAGGAAAACAAGAAGCACAGTAATGTTTGAAGTATGTACCTGATTATTTTAGTGAAAATATAACAGCTATGGGAATTGGAAATACAGAATCACCAAAAGCCCAAAAATATTTCGGGATTCTCAACTGTCTCGAAATACCGAAACTATTTCGGGATTCCCGAAAATTGGGATTCCTGAAATTTTGGTTTGGGATCGGTCTTGAAATTGGGAATACCAAAAATTTCGGTTTGGGAATCGGGACTAAGGTTTTGGTTCGGTATCCCATACCGAACCACCCCTATCTAGCATTACTCTTCCGTCATATTTTAATCAAAGTAATCTTAGAAATTTTGGAACATAAATTGGAATTTGATGAGTTTTAGAATATAGAAAACTTCATTTTAATCCTTGGCAAAGATGACTTTTTGATTAAAACCATGAGTAAGATCAAAATCTAATTTTAGTCCCTTGATACATTAATAACCTCATTTATTAATTATATTTTGATTTTTTAATTATTTATCTTTTTCTTTCTAATTTTTAATATATTAATTTTATTTTATTATAATTTTTATTTTCATTTCATTCATCGTAATATATTTTGTTGTGAACATTTAAATAAACTAATTTTTGTTATACAATATATTTTGATGTACTTTATCTTCTTCATTTAGGTATATTAAATTCATTATAATACATTTCGGTGCATACATTTAGGTACACACATTTCGGTACATACATTTCGATACAAACATTTAGGTACATTAATTCAATATAATACATTTTCGGTACTAACATTTCAGTGCATACATTTCGGTACATACATTTAGGTACATTAATTTAATATTACTACATTTCGGTGCATATATTTAGGTACATACATTTCGGTACTAACATTTAAATATATTAGTTCAATATAATATATTTCGATACTAACATTTAGGTACATTAATTGAGTCTTTCAAGTTTGAAGAATGTTAAATAAAATTAATAAATTAAAAAACTCTTTTTTGGTCAAAAAATAAATTAAAATTTGTGTATTAATAAATTTAAATATTTAATGGGAGACATTAAATAAAATGCACATTAATTATTTTGAATTAAGGGCACATTAGGGACTAAAATTAATATTTAATCTAACATCAGGTTTTTATAAAATTTTAATCTTCTTGAGGGATTAAAGTTCAAAAACCCCTTTAGAATATTCTCTAACTTTTGTGTACATGAAATTAATGGGTGGTTACATAGCATTTATTAATTTTATAATTTTAAAATTTTAATAAAAAAATAGATCTAACAAAAAAAAAAAAATTATATTTTAATTAATATAAAGAGAGGTCAATTGCCACACGCGTAGGCATGTTTCAAGAAGCTAATATAAACGTGTGTTTTATATAAAAACAATGAACAAAATGTATCAAAAACACTAGTAGGAAAAACTATTTGTGCGACAAAGCATAAATCGTCGCGCAAAAGCGTTTTGCGCAAAGAAACAGGAACTTCGTCTCTCAAAGTTTGCGCGACGAAGTTCGCACGACAAAAACAATATACTCGTCGCCCAAAATCAATAAGAAAAAAATAGGGTAATTTTTTTTGGTGCGAAAAACATGCACACGAAATTTTTCCCGAGAAACCTTTGCGCGACAAAGGCTACGTTGCGCAAAGTTCGTTCAATTTTTGGGTCAGAGCATTCAACGCATGGGAAACTGAGGAACACTTGCATGACAAGGGCTTTGTAGCGCAAGTTACAGTTAGTTTTGGGTCTGAGCATTTAGTGCATGTGAATTAGATGAATCAATACTGTATTTAGTGCAGATGTTTGCGCGACAAAGCTTTCGTCACGCAAAGGCCCTAACCTTCCTATAAATATGCGCTTCTGCTCTCCTTATTTTTCACAATTCTGTTCGTGTTGGGATGGAGGATAAAAATCGGGATGAGAGCGTGCCCGCCAACCCGTATGATTTGAGGCAACATGTGGAGTTCACACATGCTATTGGTGTAGCCATGCGAAATAATTGTCCTACTGCTGAGTGGCATTCTTGGAAATATGTGTCCGAGAATGTGAAGAAGGTGGTGTGAAGGATTTATTTTGAAAAACATGTTCATTTGAATAACATCTATAGCATGCAATTAACAAATTAAAGGCGGAATCATGCTTGTATGCATTCAAAAACAAAACATTACCCATGAAATTCAAAGCCTAGTAGATTGGTGAACCAATAATCAACTCAAAACAAAGTGAGTTGAAATTAATACCTTTGTAGATTCCTCTTTGCATAAGCAAAGGCTAATCACCCAAAGAGATAGGGCCTTCATTCCTTGCTTCTTAGATCCATGGATTTGGATGGAAGAATAGGTTCTCCAAGTTCCCAAAATTGAGAACCTCTAAGTCTCTTCACCAAGGTTTGATTGTAGAAGAAATGAGTGACCTTGGAGTAGTAGGATTGCTAGATGTACCCTCC